AAAAAAAAAAAAAAAAAAAAAAAAAAAATTCCACTGACAGCTTTTAAAAGATCCCAGACTGACCCAAACAAAGGCCAAAAATGAACTGCCTGCCAGGCTTAGTGGTGAATGCCTGTAATCCCAGCACTTGGAAGACTCAGGCAGAATTGCTTGGAGTTTGAGGACAGCCTGGGCTACATAGTGAGTTCAAGGCCAGCCTGAATTACATAGCAAGACCCTGTCTCAAAAACCAAAAGGAATGTATTGTTTTTATGGGCTATAAGGGGCAGCACATATGTATAGGTGGAGTTTTGCTTGCACTTGTGCTTTTTATGTGATGTTTGTTTTGTACTAAAGATTGAACCCAAGCCCTTTACAATGGCTAAGTCACTAAATTGCCCAGTGCTGGACTCAGATTTGGGATCCTCCTGTCTCACCCTCCCAGAGTGCTGGGATTACAGGTCTATACCACTATGCCTGGCTACATCTATGTTCTTATGTCTCTTCATGAGGCACTAATCTCATTGGCATCTTAAATTTTCACTTTAGGGTGTGCATTTTATTAATAAAATAAATGAATTTTACTAATAAAGGTAACTATAGATTTAGTGACTGTGTGACTAATGTGTTTGTCCCTTGCTACATGAAATTTGTCCTTTATCATCTAGAAAGTTCCTAATTGGGCTTTGGAGCAAGTGTCTCACTCCCTTGACTCAGTGCTCAGTTTTCTCTGTCTCTCCCTCTCCTTTCCCCTCCCCCTCCCCCCTTTCCCCAGTCTGGGCTCAACTTGGTGATCCTCCTACCCAAGCTATGTAGCCAAGGCTGGCCTCAGACGTGTATGGATCCTCCTGCTCATCCTGTAGAGTGCTGCTGGGATTACAGGTATATGTTACCATGCCTGCCTTGATTTTAATGGTTTTATTATTAGTATTTTGGTTCTGGCTTTTTGGATCTCTGCTTAATACAGCCTCTGAGAGTTGAGCTGACTACCCATCCTTCCATCTCTTGGTGCATTATAATTTTATTGCCTTAAAGACTGAGCTGGGCATTGTACATGTCTGTAACCCAGCATTTGGGTGGCTCAACGAGGGAGACAGCTGGGGTTCCAGGCCAGCCTGGGCTACACAAGTGAGTTCAAGAGCAACCTAAACTAGGTTGTGAGACTTTGTCTCAGGAAAAAAACAAAACAAAAAACAAACCAACCCTGACTTGAGACAGGCATGACCTCTGAAGCCTGTAATTTCGGCACCCTGGGAGACTGAGGCGGGAAGATTTAAAATTCAAGCTTGGCCTGCGGAAGTTTATCGAGACCCTATCTTAAAAAATGGCTGTGGCTCTTTCATGGCTGGGTTTTTAGCTAAAGGTTGCCGCCGCCTGCCTCACAAGTGCAAGGTCCTGAGTTCGATCTCCAGTACCTCCCCCCCCAAAATGGCTGGGGCTCCTTCAAAAAAATGGCTGAGGATGTAGCTCAGTTCGAAGGCCCTGGATTCAATCTCCAGCATCACACACACACACACAAAACCGGTCTTTTTAACTCTCAACTGGGGACTAGCCTAGGGGAAAAAGTGCAAATATGCTTACTATTACAAAGTAACCAGTAAGAAATCTGTCTTGGATCCAGTACACCTCGAATGAAAATTAGGCTAAAATTAATGAAGCTGAATATTAATTCAACAGAAACTCTTGCATCTACAGATTTTAAAACTATATATAGCAAGTGCCACTGCAAATTGTTGGAAAAGGAAGGACTAATTCAATAAATGATACTAGGACTCATGGTCATCCACGTGGAAAAGAAATTATAAGCATGCGAAACGATACCCAAACAGTAACCACCCTGGAAGCGAGGACGATCCCATAGATCCTACAACGAGGCCTTCGCTTTAGAGCGCCGCTCGGCGGACGCA